AAGCTCGAAACGACTGTTAGCTCGATGTGAGCTTGAACAAGCACGTTTGAAGCGACTGAGCTCGAAACAATTTTGGTTTACAACGACTTGGTCGATTGCAATGACCGTGAGCCCGATGTGCGCTTAAAACGACCGTGAGCCCGATGTGCACTCGAAATGACCATGAGCCGGATGTGCGCTCAAAACGACCGTGAGCTCAAGACAACTGTGAGCCGCATGTTAGCTTGGAATGACTGTGAGCCAGATGTTAGCTCGAGTGGCCGTGACCGGATGTTGGTTGAAATAACAGTTAGCTGATATTGGCTTGAAACGGCTGTGAGCTTGAGACAACTGTGAGCCGTATGTTAGCTCGGAATGACTGTGAGCCAGATGTTAGCTCGAAGTGGCCATGACCGGATGTTGGTTGAAATAACGGTTAGCCGATATTTGCTCGAAATTACTATGAGCCCGAGACAACTGTAAGCCAGATATTAACTAGAGTCGACTGTAAGCCGGATATTAACACGAAATGACTGTAAGCCGGATATTAACTCGAAATTACTGTTAGCCGCATGTTAGCTAGAGACAGTGGTAGGGTGCGGCGGGGATGCTGGCATCTCAGTGCCAAACTCCTGCTGCAGGCAGCTGCTGAGGTTGCTTGAGGTGTAATTGATATTGGTTACTGTGGTTGAAGGTGGGCAGCCGGGGGCGCTAGCATCCCGGTGCCCGGAGCCCCAACTGAAGCCGTTCGATGGTAGGCAGCCAGGGGCGCTGGCAGTCAGGTAAGTGGATAGCTTGTGATGATTTGTATTATGGGGTAGCAGCGTTAGCGTAGCATGCTCGACAAGCTGTTGCTTGGTCTTGGTTCGGGTGCTGAATGCGAGAGCCGTGCAGGATACGAGAGCGAAGGGGAGGAGTTAGGACGCGTGGGTATTTATGTAAATGCTGGCGATGACGTGGTTGATGTGTGGTCCAGCTCCTGAAACTCTGCTAATTAGTTAATGTTGTGAAACATTGCAGTTTGGTTAGATTTTGGCACCAAAACTTAGGTTGGTTTTAGGAAAAGATCGTAGTTTGGGTTAAAAAAACTATGTTACTTACATGATTTAACTTACATAATTACCTTACGTAACATGCGTAACTCAATTAAAAGCAATCAATGTTGACAAACTTTCTCCTGGGTGAAAGTCCGGTTTCTGAACTGCCCATCTACCCCAACGACCTCCTTTCTACGATTTTTCTGTAATTTATAATAGGCCTACTTTCAGCTTTGCACAATGACGCTAAAGGGCTTCCCCCTATGCGTTCAACTGTAATGCTAAATGCTGCCATGTGCGTTGGTACCATAAACCAAAGGTCGTGACAAACTGACGCCCTGGGAATGAAAACGGTCTGACTTTATCACACTATAATTTCTCTAAAGACTCACACACATTGCACAGCCATTCAATAAACACAAGCTGCTGACTGCAACCCAATAGCCACTTTATCTTTCCTGCTTAATAAAGACTAACACACACACACATACACACACTCACACAAGTATATCACCTTCATTGATTTTGGTATTGATGGCAGCTAGTTGTCAGTTCTTTGGGATCAATGCAATCAATACTTGGTATTTGGGAATGTTATCTTCTTTATTTTGTTTGTTGCTTTGTAGGAATTGATACTTCATGAGAAAGACTTTGCTATTAGGAAAAATAATTGAATTGAGTTTTATTACTATATACTACTATACAACACATATGCAGCCCAATGTAGATGTATATATGATGTTGATTGCAGATAAATGTCCTTAAAGCAGCAGTCCATAACAATTGAACATTGTCTTGCTCTGCTAAGCCCCTCCAACCAAACCTACAATTGCACTTGCAACCTCATCCCGCGTAGGGCACGCGAGAGTCTCACCAAGACACCGGTCCCTCTTGCCAGGACTGGTCTTCTCAAAGAGCGTGCAGGCTTCATAGGCTACTGCAAGAACTTCTAACAGCAGGATGAGAGGCTAGTACACCAGTGCTCCTCCTAAAAAGTTATTTCCCACTGTTTGTCATCATGCCTCTTTACGACTCATCGATACGATTGCATTGACCACAATGAGCCCGAAGCTCCTTGTAGATTTGGGACATGATCACATACACTGTTGTTGACAAAGGATGGATGGGCAGTTCTTTCATTGCTGCTGGTTGTTTTTCAGACATTGTGTTTGCTGAAGAGACTGCTCCTGGCTCTGATTGGTTGTTTTCTTCAGAGAGAGGTGGATTTTTTTAAAGATTATCTGCCTCATGTACTAACGTCAGGATATGGAGAGTTTTAGCGAATATGACAAAAGTTAATTTTATAAAACTACCTACTGAACCTTTAAATCCTTTAAGAAATCATATAATCAATACAATCACATAGCACATCTTATAACTTCAATGTAGACTTTTACTTGAGTGGTAAAAGTAATTACGTGCATGTTGCCTATACATCCATGGTAACAGTAATTGCTGTAAATGCAGCATGGCTTTTCATGGTGCAGATTCACCAAATATGTTTTAAAATATATATATATGCATTCTGTATACATCACCAAAAGTATGATGGGAATTGCAGGGCCAAAACTCATGACATAGTCATAATGAATAGAAGTAAAAAGACAAAGGAAGACAAAAGTTCAGTCAACCAACTCACAATGAATAGATTATATTTGAATGTAGAATACTGTAAAACTTTATTTAATAGGCCAAGCTTTTATTTGCTTAGGTCACTGAACTCAACCTGCCTATATTTGGGACAGGCGTGTACATGGGACAGGCCTTTAATAACTTTGTCATGCCTATAAATCTGAATGAACTATTGGTGCTCATTGTTTCCGTAAAATGAACCAAACTATTTAATTGTGAAGAATCTGACCGATCTAACAATGTGCAGCATGTCTATATTGACAAAAGTTTAAACACTTGATGCATGATCTTCTAATTGACACCTGCGAGCTGCTGTGTGGCTCAGTGTGATGTCTGCTATGCCTATGATAGAACGCTGACGTTACTGCTCTATGCAAGATTTAATTAGTTAGTCATCAAAACTGCAGACTCCCAGCACAATCACAGGAAGGCTGTAGGGCAGTGAACTAAGCATAGCTGCTCTGTAACTGTGTATTTAAACACCACTTACCTGTGACTGTTGGTGTTTGTAAAAATAAACTAAAATGAAAGAGTAAATGTCCTCAGTTATCGTCAGTTTATTTTATATGACCTATATATTGGTTGGATGTGGAGCAGGCTGGAACAGACTTTGCGGGGCAGTTGTAGGTTGCTGGTCGGATCGGCAGTTCAGCGGTGCGCGCAGTGATTAGACAATAGGCACGTGTTGGTGAGCTGCAGATGTATTATGCTTTTGTCCTCCACATGAAGAACTGGCACACTGCATGTCGAATGGCTGTCCAGCTAAGATTGCTTTATTCATCAGGAGAGACTGGGTCAGAGCGCCGTCTGAACGGAGCATAGCAGGTGGCGCACTGCTATTACGAGGAGAGCCCATGTAACTTGGGGGGTTAACTTAAGTTAGCCTAAAGGCCCATTTATACTCCTGCGGAGTAGGAGTATAAACACACCTACGCACAAGTATAAATACATGGCTACATCCATTTATACTCCTGTGGAGTAGGAGCGTATTGATACTTGTGTATCTACATATCTGTCTCATTCTGCAATTACAAGGACACTTCGACATTCAGCCTGGGGGGACAGGGATTGAACCGCCGACCTTCTGATTAACAGCCAACCCGCTCTACCTCCTGAGCCACAGCTGCCCCGCGTGCAATTACATGCGCTGTACACCCCCAAATGCTAGTCGGCAGTAGCACTACAGCGTAACTAACTTCCGGTTTAGCGCTCCGCTAACGTAAATGGTCGTAAAATAGGAAATGTGCGGCTGGTGTAGCTTTTTCAAATGTTATCCACCGAATGGATCACATTCTGATAGCGAACCGAGTCATTTCGCTCGGGTTGCGACAGTCAAATATATAAATTCACTGTGTTACAGCCACCGTTTTGACCTCAACCTTCGGTGTTCTATTATGTTTTCTAATACAATTGTACAAAATAATATAAATGCAACAACTGCATAGAGTTAACTGTTAATTAGGCTTTTGCTTAGTGTTTGGGCCCCTATATAAAAGCGTTAGATAGATTAAAAAAGGGTGTCCCTTTTTACAAATCTGCAATATTTCTTATGATATTAATGTTTTGTGAATAAAATAAAATAAACTGAACTGAAGTAACCTGAAGTGACGGCATTGTGACTCGGCATTGTTCAGCAACAAAGACTAAAACTAACACTGAAACTATTAAACACTAAACTAAACTAGCAAACCCACATTAAAACTAAACTGAAATTGAAAACAAAAAGTCAAAATAAAAATTTATGAAAAATCCAAAACTCTATAACCTTATAATGGGGGTGATTATTAGAGGCTTCTCTGACCCTTTAGGGGAACACCGATGAGGTCTCATTAGAGATGTAATGAAACTTAGCTGCATTCCAGCAGATCAGTGACCAGGTTGTTTAAAGGTGATACCTGAAAAGGGATAGGGATAGGTTTAATTTCAAGTCAAATATAGCCAATCTTTAAAAGTCATTTAATCATTCCGATTCTACTTATCTGAGCGTCATTATGACGCTCAGATTTGTGGTGAAGGGGCTGGAATCTGAACTGAGATTCAATAATAATCAGATTCACATTGTGTTGAAGTAAATGCTTTGTCATATTGGAGCTGCTTCCACCCTTGCACCAAATCTCCTTACTACAGGTGTTGCATTTTTCTGTCAGTCTTTTTTTAGTGAAGCTAAGCCAAACTTTAAGCCAACTCTAGATCCACTATATCCTGTGCTCCTTGTTTTACAGATTACCTGTTATACTAGCTAAGTTGTGAAGTTTAAAAAGTATCTTAATGCTCAGAGAAAAAGCTCACAAGGTTGAAGAGGTGCACTTCACTGACCTTTCTGTTCTTCTTTAATCTTCTCTCCATTTCCAGGCAGAGCGAGAGCTTCAGTACGAGCTCCCGCTTGCCCACCGCCCTCCTAAACCGCCGAAGGACTCCTACTTGATCGAACAGGTCTTCTCACCACACACTTTCACACCCTCCATTAAGGCCCATGTGAAAGGCAGCCCCCTATACACCGACCTGAGGCTCACCGGTCCGTCAGATGGCAAGCATGGTCGGCCATCCTGGACCATCCAGGAATATAAACGCAACTCAGGAGAGAAGGGAAAGCAGCTCACAGCTCTGGACTTGCAGGTATTGCACTCTGCGGACTCCCAGCACAATCACAGGAGGCCTTTATCTATGCTATGCCTATGATAGAATGCTGACGTTACTGCTCTATGCAAGATTAGAGGCTTCTCCGATCCTTTAGGCGAACCCCAATGAGGTCTCATTATAGATGTAATGAAACTTAGCTGCATTTCAGCAGATCAGTGACCAGGGTCTTTAAAGGTAATACCTGAACAGGGACAGGGATAAGTTGACTGTATTTCAAGTCGGCCATAAAACAATATTTAGGTTTTACTGTAATCATGCAGTTCAGACTGGCCGGTAAAAGATCTCTTTTAATGTGCTTTAAATGATCCAAAATCCATGTCCTTGTTTTGTGCATCAGGTCAACAGTTGGGATGGAGCGATGAATTTAACATAATAGAATAAAATGCAGCAGAATAAAAAATAAAAGATAAGTAAATAAATTATAACGAGTAGAGTGGGATGCTGCATGGGGAGGTTCAAATGGGATTATTATTTTTTCGAGTTCCCTTTACTTCCCTTTACTACTTTGCACTGGCGGTTTATCCACTCTCAGTTTTATTATATGCTTCCTTTGCTTTCTTTACAACTTTTGGAATAAAAGGACAGTTATTACATAAACCAGTGCCTGTACTTTTTACTACAGTATATTAACTACATACTGTATATAATAGTAGTTGTAAAGTACACTGGCCTCCCATCACGGTGCTGGAGGAGAAAACAATAATCAAAATAATAATAATAATAATAGATGTGCTTTTCAAAACACTCAGGGTCACATTACAAGACTCTAGAATAAAAAAATAACTAAATAAAATGAACATTGAATGTAACAGAGCAGCTGAAAGCTCTGAAGGGAAACTGTCAAGTTTTGTCAATGTGGATTTGGTGCCAACGAGAAGAACCTCGGTTTTGTAAATGCTCCGTATTTGTATAGCGCCTTTCTAGTCTTTTCGACCACTCAAAGCACTTTATTACACTACATCTGCATTCACCATTCACACACTGAGCCTAAGTGCTCAAACAGAAAATAACATTCACGTGTGTTATCAAGGATGTACTCTTGTGCCAGATATATGACCTTTCAGTTTGAAGGAAGTAATAGCACCTTTATAATAAAAAATCTTCTGGAGGTCCCTGACGTTAGCAGTGTCACCAAGACGTCTCTTGTTGCAAGTACAATTTTCTGTGCAGCCATCTGTTGAGGCAGCAGCATCAGAGCCAGTGACACTGAGAAGTTGAACAAGCTGATTAAGAGGGCTAGTTCTGTGCTGGGGACGGCACTGGAGACTACACCCATTTTTACAGGTATAGTTGGAGAGATATATCTTAAAGCTTATTTTATTCTGTTTATGTTATTTAGTACAATTTGTAAATGTGTATACCTCTACCTGATGCTGGTGTTGTGTATGTTATATAATGGTAATTTTATTTTATGTAAACTGGTGTTGGGACCGGGGGATATTCACAGATGAATTTGTTCTAAACCTCTGAGCCACTGAATTCCGTTTCCCACAATCCTGCAGGAGGTCACACCTTGGTAGGTTTCAGCTATGATTGATCATTGACCTGTGACCCATGATGTCACCTGATCAACAAAACCCCAACGCAACTTCTGCTCTCTCTCTATTCTCTGGACTTGGCCACTAAAGCTACCGACAGCAGCAGCTGTCTCCCTGCGTGTCCTGCTCAGAGCAGACACGCAGCAGATCCCTGAAAACCAGCAAGTAGGCCAAGCAGCTAACTCTGAGTAACATCCTTCGTGTTTAATCAGAAACAATCACTATCACACTCTCGTTGAAGCCACCAAACGCCATTGATAAAAACAGTCATTTTAGTTAGGGTGTTTTCTTTTTTCTACGATATCTATTGAGTATTGAGATATGAAAAAATACAAGAAAATGATCCAGATACATACAATGTGCACTCTCAAACTCAAACAACAAACAGATTTATCTATATTCAAGCAAGATCTGCAGATAGATGGATACTAGATACTGCAAGTTGTGTGTGTGTGCTGTGTGGGTATCTTACATTAGGGCGAAGACATCCTGTGACAGTGACTTTTTAACTCTCAACCAGCACCCGGACGAAGTGCCGCTGATTCAAAAGCCACCTTGCGCAACTGCTTCCAGGTGAAAATATCTGTGGACAGGCAGGCAATGAGCAGACTCTGCATGCACAGCCATCAGTTCACTATGTGCTCTGATGAAGCGGTGCACATGATCAGTTTATCAGAGGAGCCTGCTATGGTTGTTGGATAAATTGATGAAGTGCATCTCTTCACCAAAGCACACTGGGAACTGATCTGTGTAAGAACCCTTAAATCTGACTAAATTATATAATTTCAGATGGTCGTTTAGATTAGTCATGGTAAATAAGAACATTGTGAGTTTTCCTTTTGTATCAAGCAGCAACGAAGTTTGTTTAAGCTAATTTGCCCTACTTATTTGTTATCTTACTTACGTGACATTGTGCATCCTGGAATGAGGCTGCTGCACATGTGCACATGGCGATGTTGATGCTGAAACAATATATCATGCAACCTTAGCATGCACAGTTAATGTGCAAATAGGTCCAGACAGACAGACAGAAGTTACAACATGAGGTTTTGATGTATAACTATCAATGTAATAATGAATGGGTTGGAGTAATTATAGTAAAGATCATTGTGTGTCATTGTAAGTTTTTGTAGTAACAATTGTAAGGTGGCTGGGGGCTATAAAGACACAATATCTTCATGGATGCTAGCTGTGATTTTAGTGAAGGTTGCAACTCATAGTGTAATAAGAACATCGGTATCACCAAGTTAGTTTCTGAGATCTGGGAAGACATTGACATCACTACAGCAAAGTCCAACAGGTCAAGAAACATGAGATATTGTATGATCAGACAGATTGGAAACAAATCTCCAGGCTTGCCAAACTTATATTAAAGAGAAAATGAAGGCAAAAGCTAAAATTAGTTCACAAGTTGTTGTAAATATCAGTTTATATCATCAGTTTTTAGTACAGTGTTGACCACAAATAAGTTGTAGTAAACCAGAATTATTCATACACCTTTTATTCCACCATGGAATGAAAGCAACAAAATGGTTCCCTAGCTCCAGGGGTTGTGTAGGTAATTATTAATGAATGAAATGCTTCTTTAACAAAATAACTCCTGAAATTCATCGTACATATAGTAACTGATAGCTAGACAATCTGTGGGAGGATTTATCCTTGAAGAAAACCACTGCCAAATGGCAAGTCCACTTAAACACTGGTAGCAGGACACACGTAATAAGAGATGCCAACTGATAATCAGGAGAAAGAAAGAGTGAGAGACAGAGGAGGAAGGGTAGTTGGCTGAAAAGTCAAATTACAGGTTACTAAAAATAGAACGAAAACTAGGCAAGTTCAAAAGGCACTATGTGTCACTGCTGAACTGCACTCACAATGACCACAGTCTTTCCCCAGTGTTAGGATTGAGTTGTAGCAGTGGAGGTGAAGCAATTTTTTTTTATGCATGTAGTGGGGCTGGACAATTAATTGAAAAGTAATCCAAACCGAAATTCAGAGCATCTAACAGACGTAATTTCCCCATGTAGGTTATTTCGTTTTTTTAATCCTGAAAATAATGTGTGTGTTCATGTACTTTCCCCTTGAAACACTGTGTGTGTAGTCACGTGACTCTGCCTCGTCCAGTCCTGCTCAGCCTTTCAGACCCTCCGGTCTGAAGCACAGGGAGATGTTAGTTAGCACTAACTGACTTCACTTTCCAGCAGTTGTGGAAACAACAGACAGACTTTTAATAACGGACACATTGTGACCTACACTGTACATTTACTGCCAGACTGACAGCTTATTACTCGTTCGCTTTCAGTATCACTTTCTGCTGTTCTCTCTCTCTCATTGGCTCGTCCACTCACTCGCTACGCAAACACATTGCACTGCATTTAAAAGACCTAACTCCTGCTGCTCTTATAACAGCACTGGTCACATAGATTTTGATGAATGAGGAGAGGAACAGGGTGCGAATTATACAGTGAAAAACGGGGGGGTCAACTTTTTTCCAGGTCAAAAAGAAAACCCAGTAGAGCACAGGCGCGGGCTTCAGTAAACTAAAATCTTACAATGCTTACAATATCCTTACTTAGGCTATTTAACTAATGTGTGCAGTCTGTAGATCATGATAGATCAAATTTATTACACCATTATCTCACTCATGTTGATTGTGAAGGAAATGTAATCTGCGTTCAATAGAGCAGTTGTTATACACTGTTGGGGAATTGGGAATTTTTGGGTCTCTGTAAATAATATTAAACAGAGTTGGTACTGTCTAGACCTGCTCTATATAAAAAGTGCAATGAGATGACTTTTCTTATGAATTGGGGCTATATTGATAAAATTTGAAATAACAAACCTGGATTTTAACATTTACCTCGTCAGGTAAAACTCCTGAATTCCAGAGTGAAAACAAATATCATGCTTATTGTACAAAGACTCACAAAATACTTGAAATATGAATATATAATAATATGTTTATTATTTTATAATATTATATACATAATTATTAATAATAATGATGTATTACATATGAAATCACAGGGTGGGCTATCAGTTAACTAACATCACATTACTCATTTAAAGTAAAATAAATGCTAATAACAAAACTCTGAAGGTAGGAAAGTTAATTGTATTAAAAAAGCTAGATAGCTAACTACTGACATTAACCTGCAGCTGCGGCTGTGAGTGATGTGGGTAGACAAGACGTTCAACTAACGTCAAGGTTAGGAAATGGTACGGTCCATTTTAGGGATGTCAGAAATCGTATTTCAAGATTCTTGAAAATAAGACATGAGTATGGGAAATATATTGAAATATTTAAATAGGGGGGGCTGGTGGTGCTCGGAGTGCTGCTGATTGTGGGGGAGCGGTGAGGTGGGGGGTTGGCAGTGGGGCTGCCGGAGGGGCCCCGGCGAGGACGGGGGATTGTTGGACTTTGGGTTGGGGCTGCAC